ATTTTATCTAAATTTTTAAATTTCCCGTAAAATAATTTTTTTTCAAGAAAATTTAGGGAAAGCAGAAGAGAGAAACAGATCCCCAAAAAAGGGATGATCACGTCCAAAGCTAAGGGATCATATCATAACACTTAAAAAAATTGCACAGTGTCTTTTTGTTTCTGCGCCTTCAAAGGACACGTTTTCAGCAAATAGAACTCAAGCAAAGTTCCGAATATTCCATATCTGCTCACAGCATTCTTTTACTCGCTAGCTTTTGCTTTAGCGTAGCACAATTTCCGCATTGAATTCAATTGGTGCTGCGGAGAAAAGTTACTTAATTTAATTTTTTTGTTTTATTATTAATTAATTTATTTTAAATTTAAATATGATTGAATTTAATATTTATAATTTTTCTGAAAAAAAAAATTCTGTTGTATTCACAAAAAAAATAAGTTTTATTAATTTTTGTTCTCTCTTGTCTTTATAAAGCTCGTTCGTAAATGGATTTTCATTTTAACATTTTATTTTTAAACCAGCGAGGCAGATTCTTTTTGCAAGTTTTTTTCAAAATAAATAAATAAATTTCCATGAATAAACAATTGAAAAATGAAAAGGAATGCTATTATGTTTTAATATTCCAGAAACATATTTTCTTTTATAATGTGCATGGTACCGTTCCACGTGTGAGAACGGAAAGAACAACGTCGCAACGGTCGCGCATGGAGGAGCGGATATGGGACCCATAACCCCATAAAGGCTGGGCACAGTGTATTCTGGCATGCTATTTCTTGTGTTTCTAGTCCGAAAGGGAGCCACCATCATCATCTCAATCTTTCATTTGGATTTTCTACCTAATCTTTTTGCGCCTACCCATTTCTTATCCTTTCAACTTTTCCTTATATTTAAATATCTTTTTTCTTGTTATCAAAAAAAAATATATATCTTTTTTCTGAATATATATATATATATATATATATATATTTGACACCGACTATTAAATGAGGTGTCAAATTTTAAATTTGACATCAATATCAAAAGATCCTACCTCTATATATATATATATCGGAAACGACTTGATTGTTTGAGAGTTTGTACATTTTTTAGTTTTAACCAAGATTTTATCGTGTGTTTTACAAATTGTTTAAATTTAATATTTGTGATTATTTATTTGTTACATTGATTATGTTTTTCATTCGATGTACACATATGTGTAATCAGGCAATAAATTTGTGAGTAGGGAGATATTGGAGAAGGGAGTTAAAGCTTCATCCAGCATAATTATATTCTTTTTCTTTCATCCACAATCAGTGTCATTTTCAACTTTAACCGTTAGGTTTTTGGAGTTAGAGAGCTCAATATGTAACCCTGATGGGGGTACAGTGATTATTATAGGGATACCTAACACAGCAATGGTGAAAATCAAGATTATGAGAGGCATTCCCAGAAGCACTGTATACAAAAGGTGGATAGTGTTTAATGGCTACAATGATTCTTCAAGTTGGCAACATAACGACTCATTAGATGATGCCCTTTCATGTGATAAGGAAGGAGCTATTTATAGGTTCTAATTTAGTGAGAGAGTCAGCCAAGTCAACTATTATAAGAAAGTGCCAATACCAACCTCGCCTTGCTGAGACAGGGGTTTTGCGGTTATTGCCATGCTGACAGCCGTTGCTGTATAGGGAAAAAGTGAGGGGAATGATCCCAATGTGATATATTGGGTGCCTGTGGAGGCAAAAGAGATAGGGAAATCTTTCAACATACGATACTTTGATATCTAACGTTGAGATGACAACGGTCTATCTTGTAGAGGATAACAGTGACACTAATACTATAGACTTGTCTAGGACTGAGATGGCTTAAATCCTTAATATTGGGCCTGTCTAACTGAATTGGTGGATTGGGTCGGCTAGAACACAACTCAATAAATCATTATATGTATATATGCATATACATAAGCATATATGACATGTGTGTAAATGACTTTGAGATACACCATCTCAAAAGCTAGCTCAAAGGGTGGGAGTGCCCAAGGCCTTATAAAGGCCATACTAGTTTTTCATCTAATCAATATGGGACTATATATCTTAACATGCCCCCTCACGCAAGAGCCCTTTAGGCTAGAAGCGTGGAAATTGTACAGGCCCATTTTTTATTTACCTTTTTGTGCTTTTTATTTATTTATTTTAATTCCACTTTTTAAAGCGGGAGACAGCGAGGCTCTAATACCATGTAAAAAACCTTGAAAGTATTAAAATAGTCATATTAATTTCTCGTACAATCAATATAAGACTATATATCTTAACAATATGTGAGGTAGGGACCCGTCGAGTTATTTAGAGGACCAAAGAGAGAGTGGCTATTTTTGCGGGCGTACAAAGGTGAGGTACCACAGGTCCACACTATGAAGCGCCCCAGCCTAGCATTTCGAGAGGGTACTCGCTACAGATAACTCCAACAGAGTATTTGTTGACAGAGTACGAATTGGCTCAACGTATAATAAAAATATAGAAAACGGTCCTCCACTGTGGCCAATATCCAGCTATGAGATCCTTAACAATTTACAAAGCTTCCAATTGTTTTTGTTTTTTTTGGTAGTCTTACGATTGCTTAATTTGTTACACACAACACAATTCCCTACTTCCCCTTTTTATTATTGAATTTTTCAATTATTTTTTTCATTTGAAACATGTCTATAAATATGGAAAATTAAATCCTATAGCTATATTTAAATTAGGCAATGTCTTCATAGTTTGTAAGATATGGACTATTATATCATGAATACATTTGTATGCATTTAGAGATATTTTTGTACCAAATGATTGTACTCAGTTGATATCAGAAAACTAAGTAGGTGAGGTTAGTATCATCTTTAGTAGGAATTTAAAATATCTGAATCAGACTAATACGAAATGATGAACCGATTAGAATACTTCTAAAAAGAAAAAAAATACTTTTTATTTTTTGTATTAGTGAAAATTGAACACAACTTAATATAATATACCCAAATTTCTATAGCTTTGCATTTAGAGATACTTACGTATATATACATGTACCCAAATGATATACTTATCAGATTAAAAAAAAAACGCAGTTAATTTGATTAATTACCTGAAAAAGAAAGAAACAGAATTATTGAAGCATGCTAGCAGCCAGTAGCCAGGAGGAAAGAACTTACGCGGAACTGTGTCAGCATGCATCTCGTGGCTCACTTAAAACCACACGTGCATAAACTTCCGATTCCTTTTCCATCACAAAAAGAGAAGAATTACGGAAAGAGTTCTACAATTGTAACTTTTTTGTTTCTTGTTATCATTTTTTTTGTGTGTGTGTGTGTGGTTTTCCTTGCTTTTAATCACCTCACTGATAAGTGATTGCACTCTATTTCCTGCTTGTGGGCGTGGAATTGGAAAAGAAACGTACGTAGGTAGGAGGGTATTATTTTATACAAAAGCATTTTAAAAAGCAGGCTCGTCCCCCGACTTTATACGTGTCTCTGATTATGGTCGATAGGGTGTACGTACACTCAACACTCATGGTTAAAAAAATGATTAAATTATTTAAATATATTTTTTAATATTTTTATTCACATGATCACTTACATAATAATTAAAAGTTAATAATAATTTAAACATCAATTCTATAGTTTTTATATTATGATTTAACATATAAAACAAAAAAATATTTATTTAATTAAGCAAGAATATGCAAGATATATATAACTTCCGAAACCTCATAGGCTATGGCCTCCCTCGGGTATGGTCGGTTTGCCAAGATAAGTATATGTCTATTCTTTTGCATTCAACTAATATTGGACCGGTTCTTTCCTATTATTATACCAAATAAAAAGTAGAGACCCGCAAAGCCAAAGTCTTTACAATATATTCTTTTGCTTCTAGATCAGCAATGAGGTATAATCTCGTATTCTCATTCACTTGTGAACCCTCTCGCTTTGGTATAAATTCCCGGTTAAACCCAACCCAAACGAATCACTCATTTATACGTGATGGTAATATTCTTATATATAGTTTATGGGTTTAAGTTTTCTTATGTTGTAGGATTGTAGGAGATAAAAAAAGTAGAGAGAAGTTAAATGTGGGTTCCATATTTTATATTAAAAAAGAAAAGAAAAATTAATTGGCACGGAAAACGAATTAGTGTAGGAAAATGATGTACTCTTATGTAGCATAAGAGTATTATTTCCCATAGTTTATATTTATATAATTTTTATTATCTAGCTACGATTAATTTTATCTTATATTTTATGCATTATACGGAGACACACACACTTTCTCACGTCTGAATAAATTTTTGAAATTAATATTTATTATATCGTAAGAGATAATTTTTTATCTTTCACACATAAAAATATATAAATCCATAAAAGATGAAGAGAGAAGAAGAAAAAAAACAAGCCTTGCAAATTTTTATTTATGCATAAGAAATAAAATTATATTTATAAATGAAAAATATTAATCTTTAAATTTTTTCTTTTTATTATGGTATTAACAAAGAGGGGGAATATTTTGACTACCAAAAAAATCTACTACCACTTTACTACCTATCAAATCACCATTGGATCAAAGAGAGAGAATGTTAAAAAGTTTTTGAAGAGAAAAAAAATGTTAATCCAATTAGATAGATAGTAAGGTGGTAGTAGAAATTTTTAGTAGTGAAAATATCTACCTTCGTTGACAAAAACTAGGCATTTTTGCCACTTCACAATGACGGGAGCGTGAGGTGATAAGAGAGAGCAAGAAGCATTTTACTATCTATTCATAATATGAAACGGCGTTGGAATCCAGAACGTGTCAGTGAGAGCAGGCATAATGTAACCCCGTTCACACACACAAAATCGGTCAAACGCTACGTATGAAAGCGTCGACCACCCTCATGCATTGAATGCCACTGGCTCAGTGTTGTCCGTACCATCCAATTACCTACAATTGCCGGTCAAGTCTCTTGTTTTTACCTTTGCCACATTCTAAGTTTGAGTTCCCATCCCCATTCCACAAACACCTTTCCACTTTATTGTAATATCTCTTTTTTTTTCTCTCTCTCTCTCTCACTTTCTCTACCTAGCTATAAACCAGATCAACCCTATCTATCTTACTATCTCAGAGTGTGAGGTTTGAGGCTGAGAAATGAAAGATTTGCGTTTAAGAGGTCAGTGAGGTTACATGGAAAAGAAAGATATGAAAGGCGTGAAGATGGAGGATGACGCCATTGGATCTTCATCGCTCCATGGTTATCCATTCCCGAGCATGTTTGATTTCTCTGAAGTGGAAAAGAGCTCCTTAGGGTTTATGGAGTTACTGGGTGTGCATGACTATAGTTCTTCTATGCTTGATTTGCCTCTAGTGTCAACCATGTCTATGGCTCATAACTCTGCTCTTAAGGAGACTGGAAAAGAGTGTTCCGAGGTATTGAACCAGCAACCTGCCACTCCAAATTCTTCATCGATTTCATCTGCGTCCAGTGAGGCAGTCAATGATGAACAGAATAAAACTGTAGACCAAGCACATGAACATCAAAAGTTCAAGAAACAGTGGGTTTTTTTTTTTCCTTTTCTTTTTTTCTCTATTTATCTTCTCTCCCTTTTTGTGATGAAAGGGGGAAGTTAAGGTTGGTATTTAAGTCTCATTTTTTGGGAGGAAGGGGGAAGTTAAGGTTAATGATAATTTCATGAGTGAATGGTTCGTGGGATATTGGAGGAACATAATATAAAATACGAGTTTTTATCTCTTATTTAAGTCTCATTTTTTTTTTTGATGTGAGAACATAATTGAAAATTCAATTAAAAATAGGAAATGAATAAGATGGGTTTGCTTTTTTTACATTTGATATTGTTTAGAACATTCTAAGATTTGATGGTTTCTGGGATTTGGTTCTTATTTAGGTTGAAGGTGAAGAAGACAAATCAGAAGGGACAGAGAGAACCGAGATTCGCGTTCATGACGAAAAGCGAGGTGGATCATTTGGAAGATGGGTACAGATGGAGAAAGTACGGTCAAAAAGCTGTGAAGAATAGCCCCTTTCCTAGGTGACGCTTTTAGTTCTGCAATACATACAGACTATGCTTGCTTCCCTTTTTTTTTCTTTTTTTTTGATTAAATTTAGAACACCCAAAAAAATAAAAATAAAAAAAAGTAAATGAGAAATGCTGCTCTTAACATTTGAGCCGTGTGAATATATATAGGAGCTATTATCGTTGCACTAGTGCTTCATGTAATGTGAAGAAACGCGTGGAGCGATCTTTTACTGATCCAAGTGTTGTGGTGACAACCTACGAAGGTCAACACACACATCCAAGTCCAATTATGGCTCGCTCAGGCCTCGCCGGATCTACAATATCACCAGGTGTCTCCGCCGTAATGCCTGCAGGAAACTACATGTCCCAATATTATCAGAACCATCAACAAGTCTTTGTCAATAAATTGTGGTCTTTGGGTTTCCCTTCTTCAAAGAATGCTTCTTTTCCTCAAGAGAGACCTCTTTGTAATCCCGGGGCGACTGCATTGTTAAAGGACCATGGGCTTCTTCAAGATGTGGTACCTTCACATATGTTCAAACAAGAGTAGATGATAATTCCATTGCTGCTTCTATTTGATTTTTTTATGCTGACCTTTTGTAGGACTCCATCACTACGTATTTGTAATTAAGTTTTCCTTCGAATTACTGACAGGGGGTGACACTGATGACGATCATACTTGTAAAACCCACTTTATATCTTATTGCACATATACGCCTTATCATTAATATCAGTTTAACATGATGGATTATTATTTTTTTAATACAATGGTGAGAATTGAATACATAACCTAATATATATTATCTAAATCTTTAACACTAAACTAAACCTAGTGGCTTATAATACGATGGACTTTGATAGACGGAACAAAGTTTTCATTGTGGATTGGACTGTTGAAAATAGCGAATAGGTTTCTACCCTTTTTTTTAATCTTGACTCTTGAGATTCTGACTCCTCGTTTGTCTTGTATCTTTGTTTCTTTCTGTTGAAGGAATGTGCATTCATTTCACTGAGGTACACAAGTAAAGATTGTTAGGTTTTAGGTTTTTAAACGGGAACAATTTGTAAGCTTACTTCCTTTGTTTCGTCCCCATACTCCACTGAAAACGAATTCTAGGGAAATGTGTTCACTAATTTGAAGGATCCGATGGTGAAAGATCTGTCCCGATATGGTCATGGGGTAATAAATAGGAAGAGTAGTTCAACCATTAACAATCCACTTTAAGCTCATTGAGTAAATGCCACTATCCTGCATGCCATGTATTCCATTCATGGATTTGATTCGTTGAAAAGAAAAAAGAGGAAGGGGGGAATTTAAAAAAGAAAGTAAACAAAAGAAGAAAAACTTAAACAAGCTTAGCATTCGAAACGTGATCTGGTATCTACGATGTAATAGATCCTGAAAACGACTCCTTTTAGCTTAATATATTAAGGCACCATAATAGCCCTGGTCAGGTTTTTTTCCCAAGTTTGGTTCTATTGAGCAGGTGAAACTCTCATCTGTAAATAATTGGAAGATTAGTTCATAGGCTTTCACGAATAGGCACAGACAAAAACACCCTTGAGTGGTTGGATATAATACTCCACCATCAAAGAACCGCTGGGGCCCTGCTATTCCTATTTTAGGCTCGCTCTCTCGTCTTAAGTGGCCAATACATACATCGAAGTAAAATTGTTCAGTTCCGCATGGAGCCGGAAACAAATAGCAACCCACAACAAATTCTTCCATTTGAATTGTTCAGCCCCCTATAGGTGCCAAAATGGTCTTTTAAATTACCTCTCTTATATTCCTTTATTCCTAGACAAATAAATGCCAGGAGTAACGATTCTGCCGACTTGAGTAACCATATCAAACTTTGATTAAATTAAAAATAAAATCACTCCCCATTAAACCCGACTAGCGAGTGTGAGGTGGAGAAAATTCTTGTACGCAGCCTTACCCTTGCATAATTGCAAATAAAAATAAAAAATCCATTTACCTTGATGTCATTGTTTCTAGATGTTCCACAAGAACCTCAACAATCAATTAGGATCCAGGACAGCGATGAAAGGAAATAACACGAAGTGAATGAAAAGGGCAGTTCGGTACCATGCATCACATGGCGCTACTGGGGCTGAAAACGCCATTCACGTTCAAATTCAATTCCAATATAGTTAAAAAATCATTTTTATGTGCTGAAATGTAACCCGTATACCAAGTGGGCTGCGCTTCTTAAATTTGTGGTCTCTACAGCAGTAATGGAGTCACATTTCTTATCAAGCTCTCTAGGCTGTAATCAATTTCGCATTCCTCTTTCACTTACAAGCAATACAAGTACAAATAAAACTCAGGAAAGGAGTTTCCACAGCTCCCAAAAACACAATAAAAATATGGCCTAGCCTCATAATATTTCAAACCATGAAATGCCATTATTTACCTGAAATTTTCCTTCCTCGCAAAAGTTGCAAGCATTCAATATACTTTGCCTCTAAAGAAAAGTTAAGCCTCGACCATTTGATTGTCTAAACATCTAAGTAGAAGTAATACCCAGATTGTATTCCATTCATACATTTTCTAATGAGGGAATTAGGAATGCAACAAATTCCCCCGTTACAGATTAGTAATAGCCATTGCAATAACAAATGAGGCAATAAGAAAATACAGAACCTCGGAAGAAACATTAAGTTAGTTCTGTAGCAATTTGAAGGCCACTTTACTATAATAATAATTGGGAACAATATTTGATTTCAGTAGCCCAACAAGAAAAATAACATCACACCTGTCCAACAAAAGGACTTGTTTCTGACTGCCTGTGATCATGATTTGTTTCCTGCAAAATTACAGAATGTTAGGCTATAGAAGATTAAGCAATAAATGCAGTCCCCTCCATTAACTAAATAGAGCTTACTTTCAAACAATTAGGCGTTGCGGTATGATTGTGTTAATTAGTCTAGGCGGGCAAGGAAAGTTTTTATTATTATTATTATTATTTTATTTTTCTTTTATTTTTTGCTGAACTTTTTAATGGGAAAAATACGTCTGAGAATACACCTGCTGTCTTTGAGCAACTTGTTGACAGGAAGATAACAACACTTGCGAGTGAAGACAGCTATGATCCTCCTGCTCCTGCTGCTTCTGTGTTTCTTTTTCATACAAGGCATACCCCTCAGGCTTGTCCCACTGCGCCATGAATAAACATCACACACTAAAGTAACAGGCATTCAAAACACAGATTGTATGAACAAGATCAAAAGGTTGAAACATTACTCTGCTTTCGCAAGTGACACAGTTGTAGTAGTACTTATGACCGTCAGGGCAGAAGTGTTCACTCCAATCACATTCCGGATAATCTTCATCTAGGGGACTTCTAGGCATATCAGGTGAGGTGCTTCCAGCTACTGTTCTAGGATTGCTTCCAGTCTGAGTAGGCAGCTGAGAAGAACATTAAATTGAGAAAACTTTTGCAGTCTACCAAATAAAGATACTTTACCAGTATCTTGACATATTAGATAATACATTTAAATGTTTGCAATGTATTTAGTAGTCAGAGATACAGAGAAAAATGACCAACATAACAAAGTGAATGGCAAGCTCAGTAGTTTACCATTACTTATAACAGTAACTCTCCTAACACCGTTCCTCAATTATAACAATGCATCACATTTTTTAAAAAAATAGTAGAGATAAGTTCACAATTTAACTACATTAAAGAGGAAGGGGAGGCACCGGAGACATATTCATAAATGCTCAAAGTTGCTACATTTATAAGGGCGAAAATTGCAGAAATTTTCAGGACAATAAGAAATATGATTTGAAACTTAGAGGCAGTTTCGACTGACATCAAGCATATACCCAAGAGTACATTAAATAATAAAATAACTTCAACTATGTCAGTCAACCTCTTCAATTAACAGAAATTTAGTTACATCATAATCAAAATTTCCCTGAAAGAAAGACAGCTAAATAATGATCAGTCTCTGTATTACCTGTTAGCCACTAACCTGTGAACTTAGCTGCTGCTCAATATTTTGAACTGATAAATCTGCTGGATGCGATTGTCTCTGCACCTCAGTATTAAATGGTTGAGAAGACAACTTTGGAGCTTGAACTGACCGCAAAGGCATTGAAGCCAATTGTGAATGTCCTTGTTGGGGATGAAATGGCTGCTGTACCATAGTAGCACCAGGTTCCCAGTTTTGCATATGAGAAGCAACTTGTGGGCGTGGAATCGTTGAATGATGTGGGGCAATAGGCATAAAACTCCCTCCAGAATTGGAATCACCAAAATTTTGCAGTGGCCTGTGACAAGACATTAAATACAAACTTAAATAGAACACAAATATGATTCCTAAAATTATCTCCATTAACAAAATACCAAACAAATATTCAAGTCTTTGGAAAACCGGATTGTTCATTGAACCAAAAGAAGTCACTTCATGGTTCAGTTATCCAACTGGGGAATAAATTTTCAGTGATCCGGTGGTACGTACGGAAGACTCAGTGCAGTACCCACTAAAATTAAAACTGTGTTTACTCCACTCCTTTATTTTTAATGCCACGAGTTATACCATCCTAATTTTAGTAGGGGTACTCCTTACTTAAGATTGAATTACAGTAAAGTTGGAATTTTTTGAGAAAAGGATGTATTTTTTTAATAAATATGACAAATATATTGAAAGCATAACACATTAATATAATAGATGAATGCAAACGAAGAAAAATTTATAATAACATTAAATATGAAACTTAAATTAAAATGGTTGTATCATTTTATAATGTATAAATTAGAAATATTTTTAAATAAAATATTAGTTTTATGCATAAATATGATAATTTTTATATTCCAATATATGTTGAAACTTTTTTTTGATTAAACTTATACCCAGATTAATTTTAAAAATATTTTCTTTAAATATTGAATTAAATATGTATCTCTGAATATTATTTTCAAATTTAAAATATTTATCGTTTATTAATTTTAAATTTTTTAGGCCATCATTCATGATATTAAAAATAAGCTTAGTAGTGCTTAATTTTTACATGCTGATATTATAAATAAACATATGCATGAAATGCTTTATCAAGAAGCAACTTTGCCTTATTTGCTTTGGGTTTAGCCAACAATCTGCCTGGCAACTAGTTAAAACCCTAATTTTGACATTCTAGGGCCAAAAGTGACTTTCCAAGTAAGGCAATGATGACATGGTGGCCTTCATAAAACACCAAGCCATCCATTTAATAGTTGGCTGGTCCATCAAACCAGGAACGATTTTACCAGCTTAGGCAAAACCAGCCAATTCAGATTGTTAGTGACTTGTTTTAAGGTGTGAGTGTGAGCCAGTCTCCAGTTCACCTCGTCCATTTGGCCAATCTGCCCTGATTCACACAATACTAGAAAATATGAACTGTAAACAATTCAGAAAGAATATGGATTCAATATTTCCTTTTTGGCATTTCGCATACTAAGGTTAAGATTCGTTGCTACCCAGCTAAGTAAATAAAGTTGCTTGATTGGAACCCCCCCTCCCCCACTCTCAAAATCAATAAATAAATAATAATAAAAAAGAAAGGATGTATGATGTATAAACTTGTCAGCATGCATTGCAATAATCTATGAATAACAAAGACTGATGAATACAGAGTAGCATGAAAAATAAAGGGGTGAGAAAGCAAAACCTTGATTCTCCAGTCTTAGGTTTCTTAGGGTCCGCAAAACGAACAATTAAAGGATGACCACAACCCTACATGATTAAAAATGTGATTTTAGCAGGCATTAAAAAGTGGACAGAGTAATATTTATCAATTAATAAATTAGCTTTACTCTCATCGTGTACGCTCCATTCAGCCCTTTGATTGCAGCCAATGCCATGTCTCTATTAGAAAATTTGACAAAACCATATCCTTGAAATTCAAGAAATGCAACCACTTGACAAGTTAGGTGAAAGCGAAAACCATGAATAGCAAATTGATGAAATAAATTAAATACAAGGCTTGGTGCTAAAAGTAACCATAGCAAAAAATAAACATAGTCCATTATGGACGAGGCATGATCCTTTCTTGTATATATGTTCCAAAATATTAATAATTTTACCCATAATTTTTTCTTCAAAAGTGTAATTCTTGAAGCAAAACATGGCTAAGTGAAATCGAGAGAGTGTTCTCTATCTCAATCTATCTTCGCCCATTGCTTCTCACTCTAAAGGGCAAACCCCGAAGTACAAGACCTCGACTTGCGAGGGTAGGGGTGTGGGTCAATTGTATGCAGTTGTACCCCTGCATTTTTTTACAAAAAAGTTGTTTCCTAGAATCGAACACATTGCCTCTCACTCTATCTCACAATTTTTATTTTTTTAGGTCTGAAACTCCTTTCCCTATAGTAGATATGTTGGGTAAGAAATAAAAGACAAAATCAAATATATGTCCATTCTTCAAAGCCACAGATATTATATGAGAAACATTATATAGCAAGATCAAGGACCAACCACGACCGAGCGCAATGAAGATATCTTCTACATGCCCATAAGGTGAAAATATCTGCAGAGAATATGCACAAAACTCAGAAACACGATATGAAGCCTAAGATATCACACACAACCCTGCAGACTATAAAGGGTATTCCACAATATCCTATATCAAAGCAAAATAGAGGGCTACCATAGTAAAGAATAAAATTATCATATCAGCCCACTTAAATTGAACCGGGCTGCAAAAAGGTTACAGATATGTACATGTTAATAACAAACATTTGCTAGCCGTTACCCACATAAAAACATCATGATAACTGATAAGCATCCACATGATAACAAGTATTTTTTTTTTTTTTCCTAATATCTATTTGTAAAGAACTAATTCAACCCAAAAGCTTCAGATGTTAGGTGAGAGCCTCTTTAATGATTTATATTATACTCTAACACGCCTCTTCACACGAAAGCCCATTGGAGATGAAGGGTGGATAATGCATCAGACCCAGCCTACCTGTGCTAAAAAATTCCACAAGAAAAGTGGGGGGCGATGAGGATTGAACACGGGACATGAGCCTTTGATACCATGTAAAGAACCAATTCAACTCAAAAGCTTAAACTATTAAGTGAAGGCCCATCAATGGTTTATATACTTCTCTAACACGCCCCCTCACACGAGAGCCCAGTGGGCATGAAGGGTGAATAATGCACATGCCCATCTACCTGTGCAAAGAAATTCCGCAAGAAAAAATAGGGGACGGTGAGGATCGAACCTGGGACATGAGGCTATAATACCATGTAAAGAACTATTTCAACCCAAAAGCTTAAGTTGTTGGGTGAGGCTACATTAATAGTTTTTATACTTCTCTAACACGCCCCCTCACACGAGAGCCCACTAGGCTTAAAGGGTGGACAATGCACAGGCCCACCTACTTGTACTAAGAAACTCCACAAGACTTAATTAATTATTAATTAAATGGGGGCGGTGAGGATCGAACTCGTGACACCGAGACTTTGATACCATGTAAAGAACCAATTCAACCCAAAAGCTTAAGTTATTAGGTGAGGGCCTCTTTAATGGTTTATATTATACTCTAACAAAATTTAATAGGGGTCACTTGGCAAGATTACCATCAAGCAAACCTAGGAGGTGGTTCTAGACACATTTCTACAATCGGCATATTCTCCAGTTAAATACAAAACCATGGATAAAGTCATTGGCATGAAAAAGACACTAAAGTAACTTGTGTTTAGGTGAAGTAAAAACGTATTTGGATGAAGCTACACTAAGGGTTTTATATTTCTCTAACACACCCCCACACACAAAAGCCCATTGGAATTGAAGGGTAAATGATGTATCAGGCTCAGCCTACCAGTGCTAAAAAACTCCACAACATTTAATTATTTTTATTAATAGAATGGAGGACGATGAAGATCGAACTCGTGACTACTTGGTTAGAGGCTTTGATACTAAGTAAAGGACCAATTCAACCAAAAAACTTAAACTGTTGGGTGAGGCTATATTAATGGTTTTATATATCTCTAACAGATGTGAATGGTGAAACATACTTCTTCCATTTCCTTTTTCGAAGCTTCTTTGTTGATGTAACCAACAAAAACTTTATCCACCACCTCTGAAAAAATATAGAAACAAAACAAAAAATAAATAAGAGCTGATTAAATGAAAAGTAGCTGTATTGGGAAGAAGATGAGAAGTTTGCCTTGTAAAGGATCTTTCTTTTCCAAGTTTCGGCAGAACCCTCGAACCCCTACAAAGAGAATAAATTAGAATCGCATAAATAAAACATAATAGAGTATGATAGTATGATGTTTTTATTCACTCATCGTTGGTTCGAATCCGGCAAGTCGGACCAGTTGATACACTCTAATGAACTTCATTCACAAACAGAGAATTCCAGAAACAGAACACTAGGGTAGGAAATTAAGACTGCAACCAAGAAGATGATACAAGGGCCTTCTCACACTGAGTGACTCTCAGTTTATACAAAATACAATCTAATTTTTTCTTCAACAACTAATAGACATACTGTTTATACAACAGAATCCTAAGACAACAACTAACTACTTTGATTGTTGCCTTCTAGTGTGTACTTTCAAGCCGTTGGGCTTAGTTAGGTCTTCTTTGGGTTTGTACAGCTCATTAAGTCCATCCTTGACTGTAACAGTATACTAATAATCAATGGCAATTTCTCCATAAAAAAAAACTTAAAATATGAACATAATGGGATGAACTCTTAAAAGTATTAAATTTGAACGCATATTACATTTTGTTCTTTACATGGTATCAGAGTCTTGATTTCTCAAGTTTGATCCTCGCCGCACCCCCCCCCCCCCCAAAAAAAAAAAACAATTTTCTTTGTGGAATTTCGTAGCACAGGTAGGCTGAACATGATGCATCATCCACCTTTCAAGCCCAATGAACTCTCTTATGAGGGGACGTGTTAGAGTATAATATAAACCATTAAAAAGGTCATCACCCAACACCTTAAGGTTTTGGGTCGAAGTGGTTCTTTACACTTTGTCTCGGAAGCTTCCAGAACTAATTTATGCATATTAACTAAGGGAAAAACCACTCTCATGTTATTGGAGATTAACTCTCTTTCCTACACACCCATCGATTTCTGTGTAGCTCATTTTTATTTTTATTTTTTATAAGTGAGTGGGCTCCACCCATGATTGTGTCTATGGTAGAAGAGAATTACTCTCTTACAACATAAGATTAATAAAGCCCATTAACTAAATCCCTCATCTTCAAAGCTGCTAACTAACAATATAAATATAAAGAATAACAACATATTTTACTCTAAAAATTGGCTAGCAAAAGATTTTCTTTCTTAAACCAAAGGATAATAAAGGTTCACCATACACACACAGAGAGAGAAAATTACTATACTGTCCCTTGAATTTTGTCTTAGCTCTACAAAACTCCCCTCTATTTTGAAAAACTATGAAAAATTCCCTAAACACAGGATGTCAGGGGAAGTTTGTGAAAAAAAAAAGAAAATTCAAGGAAGGCGAGAGTATTTCTCAGTATATTGTATAGATAGGAAAGACATTAAAATCAAAGAATAAGAATACTCTGTATTACGGCATTTGAAGTGTTCGCTTCTCCCTTTCAAGATTCACTCATGGACAGGGGCATTATCTAAAAATTCCCTGATTCCCCATTGTAACAGACTCAACAGCAATTTCCAAATAAAATAAAAAAACAGAGGCAAATTGTATTAAATTCAGCAATCAACAGTAACGATTACATAAGAATTCCATGACAGTACTTCTCATATAAACTCCCTAATTACATAACTGAATTGAAATAATAAAAAGAAAATGTGGAAGATAGGTTCAGAGGTGTTGGAGAGCCTCTGATCTCTCCTAAGTCTCAATCCTCATTATTCCCAAAAGATCCGTCTCATTTCTTCTGCCTTCTCCTTTATTCCCATGCACTAACCGTCTGCTGACTCAGCCATCACGTTTGTTGCACCAGCTGCCATAAGGAAAGGATTACCATGTGTTGCACCTGTATCAACATTTGGTGCACCGCTAGGAGATGCTAATTCCTTATCAACATTTGGTGCACCGCTAGGAGATGCTAATTCCCTGATACGCTGCCTATGATAAGTCTTTAATATAGGAGGAGTTGTATCAATACTCCCCCCTAAATTAACAACCTTGTCCTCAAGGTTGAACCAAGGGAATTGACGGTTCAACATATAAGAATCCTCCCAGGAGTCTTCAAATGGAGGGAGATGAAGCCAACGAATCAATACTTCAATAGCACCCCCTGCTGTTTTCCTCCATTGTAATACCTCGGCTGGTTCAACTACCAATTCCAAATCTGCAGAAAGCATGGAAGGTAGAGGCTGAACCTTGGATAACTCCAAGTTAGGAAGAGCTTGTTTGAGAAGAGAAACATGGAAAACAGGATGTATAAGGCAAGAAGGAGGTAAATCCAACTTATAAGCTGACATGCCAACCTTTGCCAACACACGATAAGGACCATAGAAGCGGGGACTGAGCTTTTCATTAACCCTCCGTGCTAAAGTTTTAAGTCTATACGGCTGGATCTTCAAATAAACCATATCATTAACCTCTAATTGGACATCCCTACGATGCTTGTCTGCCTGAACTTTCATACGGTTTTGTGCCATTGTTAAATGGTGCTGTAACTCCTTTAAAATGGCATCTCTTTCTTGTAACATTCTGTCTACCTCCGCTACCTGGACAGCATGTCCAATGCGAAACAGGGAGGGAGGATCTGAACCGTATAAGGCCTTAAAAGTGGAAACACCAGTAGAGGATTTATATGTGGTATTGTACCAGTATTCTGCCCAATGCAACCAATTTGGTCACTGCTTAGGACAAGGGTTGCAAAAACACCGAAGGTAAGTTTCTAAACATTTGTTGACAATTTCTGTTTGCCCATTTGACTATGGATGATAAGCAGTACTGTACTTTAGTGAAGTACCAGCCTGCTTAAATAATTCGGACCAGAAATGGCTAAGGAAAACACGGTCCCTGTCAGATACAATGGACATAGGGAAACCATGCAATTTGACAACATTTTTTATGAACAAAATAGCAACTTCCTGAGCAGAATAAGGATGACAGAGAGGAATAAAGTGAGCAAATTTGGTAAATCTGTCCACTACCACTAAAACCGTGTCAACACCACAAGCTTTGGGCAAACCTCCAACAAAATCCAAAGAGATATCAGACCATACCTGACTTGGGATGGGAAGCGGCTGCAAAAGACCAGCAGGGGTCAAATTCGAAGCCTTACACTGTTGACATACAGCACACCGAGCTACGTAGTCTTGGATATTTTTCTTCATACCCTCCCAATAAACCAGATTTGAGATTCTTTTAAATGTGCGAAAAAACCCAGAATGTCCCCCAACTGGGGAATCATGAAACTCCTTGAGTAAGAGGCAATGAGATCTGAATTTTTAGGAAGCACCAATCTGTGATGAAAAGTCAGCTTCCCACCCTCTAATTGGAAACCAGGATGCTTGGAAGAATCTTGAATCAACTCCAACACAATTTGCCGAATAGTAGGATCCTCCCCTTGTTCTCTTTCAATCTGTTCAACTAAAGGCAGCCTTACTGCAGATAAGGAATTAAATTCCCCTCTTCGCGAAAGAGCATCCGCGACTACATTCTCCTTCCCCGGATGATACTGGACCTCGAAATCAAATCCTAGAAGTTTCGAGGTCCATTTTTGCTGATCCTCCCCCAATACTCGCTGGTCCATCAAATATTTGAGGCTTTTCTGATCAGTTTTAATTACAAAGTGCCTGCCTAAAAGGTAATAACGCCATTTTTGGACAGCAAAAACCAAAGCCATCAGCTCCTTCTCATACACTGACTTTCCCTGCGCCTTTTGGGAAAAACCTTGGCTAATGAAAGCCAAAGGCCTTCCCTCTTGCATAAGGGCAGCTCCTATGCCCCTACTCGAAGCGTCGGTAACCACCGTAAATAGCTTGTTAAAATCTGGTAAGGCAAGGGTAGGTAAATCACACATGATGAGCTTGAGTTGCTCGAATGCAGATTGAGCACCCTCATTCCAAAGGAAAGCATTTTTCTTCAGAAGGTCAGTCAGAGGCTTTGCCATAATACCATACCCTTTCACAAATTTCCTATAATACCCGGTCAATCCAAGGAAGCCCCTTAATCCTTTAAAATCTTTAGGAACTGGCCATCGTTGCATAGCCATGGTTTTTGATGGGTCAGCTGCAACCCCCTGCGAACTGATGATATGGCCAAGGTATTCAATCTGAGGCTGCCCAAATGTGCACTTTTTTCTATTGGCATATAACTGTTGTCTTCGTAACTCTTCTAAGACAGCCCTCAAATGCTGAATGTGTACCTCTTCTGACTTGCTGTATACCAGGATGTCATCGAAGAATACTAATACGAACTTGCGAAGAAAAGGTTTGAGGACTTCGTTCATCAAAGCTTGAAAAGTAGAGGGGGCGTTTGTCAAACCGAAGGGCATTACGAGATATTCGTAATGGCCCTCATGAGTTCGAAAAGTTGTTTTCTCGATGTCATCCTCCTTCATCCGGATCTGGTTGAACCCGGATTTCAAATCTAACTTGGAAAAAACACAAGCAGCCCCAATTTCATCAATTAATTCATCTATTACCGGCATTGGAAATTTATCTGGCACGGTCATTTTGTTTAGCTTCCTATAATCGACACACACTCGCCAGCTGTTGTCTTTTTTTTTAACTAAAATTGCTGGGCTTGAATAAGGACTCACACTTGGCCTAATCATACCAGAATTCAACAATTCATTAACGTTCTTCTCAATTTCATCCTTCTGATAGAAAGGGTACCTGTAAGGCCGAATGTTGGGGACCTCATTTCCTGGCTTGAGGACAATGGCATGATCTCTGCTGCGTTTGGGAGGGAGACCCGAAGGCACAGCAAAGATATCTTCATATTCCCCCAACAGCTGCTTTAGCTCATCCCACTCCAGCTGGCCGCTTGGAATTGTGAAAGACTCCCAATTGGGATGTACCAGAAAACCTTGGCCATCATTCTGAATAGCTTTCGTGATGGCCTTGAAGGAAGCCTCCGCGGAAACAAGTTCTGGTTCAGCCTGAATTAGTACCCTCTGTCCCCCTTGTTCGAAACTCAAGGTCAGTTCCCGAAAGTTGGCCTTGATAGTACCCAACCCTTGTAACCAATCCATGCCTAACACTACATCCACCCCTCCAAGCTTGAATAAGAACAGATCTTGAACCACTTCGATTCCCTGAAAACGTATTCTTACCCCCTGACATACCCCATCACAACTTAGACGGTCACCGTTACCGATTTCAACCTTATACTCAGACGTCTTTGTAGTCTTCAATCCGAGCTCGCGAGCTGTCTCTTCCTTGATGAAGTTATGTGTAGCTCCATTATCAACTAAGATCACCACCTTGTGCCCCCCAATCTCTCCCCATAGCCTCATGGATCTGCTCGAAGCCAGCCCTAACAAGCTGTGGGATGACAACTGAAGCGTTACAGCCGGAGCTTCGTTTTCCACGCCCTCTGCCTCCTTATCCAGAATGTCGCCGACCGGGGCCTCGTCGTCCTCTTCCCCCTCGACCACCACCAACAGATTCAACTGCTTCGACTTGCAACGATGGCCAGGGTTCCACCTTTCGTCGCAATGGAAGCACAATCCTTTGCGTGAGCGTTCCTGCCATTCCGCTTGCGGCAACCGACGACCACCAGAACGATTAGTGTTGCTGGCCTGACTCTCCTCCGTGCGTGGATGTTATGACGATGGGTTGGGGTTCGATTGTGATTTGGGAGTGTCAAACGAAGGATTCGTCATACTAGATGTAACCTGACCCGCTTTGTGACCCGAGGACCCAAATGGCCCATGATTATTGTTTGAACGGGTTGCTGAAGTGGAATTTGCTTTCGATGGCCCAAAATAACGCCCAGGCCCATTTCCCCCAATTCCCTCAGCCAGCCAAGCCCAATTCCTTCGTTCGATCCGTTGTGCCTTCTTCATCATCAACGGCAAGCTGTCTAATGGTTGCAATAAAAGTTCCTCCCTGATACAGCAGGTTAATCCATTCAGCCAAATTCCTCGAAGGACTTCGTCATCTACGAACTCCAAGCTGCCGCTTATTTTTTCGAAATCTCTCCTGAAATCTTGTACACTCCCAATCTGACGCAAATTTAACAATTCATGGAGTGGGTTCCCCTCTAAATCCGGTTGGAAACGGCTAAGAACTTCCGCTCGGAATAAACCCCACGAGGTAGTGGTGGTGCTCCTCTCCCACCAATGGTACCAATGTAACGCCTCTCCTTCGAGAACGATCATCACCGCCCTCAGTTTCTCCCCGTCAGCCATTGGATTCATTTCAAAATACCGTTCCACCCGAGTTAGCCAATTGTAGGCTCCCACACCAGAGAAAGAAGGTAATTCTAGTCGCCTCCTCATGTTTTCTCCGAGATAATGCCTTCCGGTCTCATCACCGGAAAACTCCGTAGAACCCCTACTCCCCCTTCCCTCTCTTCCTCGTCGCTCACGACTTCTGGTACGACGATCCTCCCGATTAACGTTCATATTTTGCATTCCCCTTAATACCTCAGCTAACCCAGCTTCAACTCGTTGAAGTCCTTCCTCAGTTCTTATCGTTCTTTCCTCAGTTCTTATCATTCTTTCCTCCAAAGCTTCGATTCTAGGGTCCATCGTTCTTGTTAATACCATCCAACGCTCCCAAGAAAGAGAGCTCTGATACCAATTGTAACAGACTCAACAGCAATTTCCAAATAAAATAAAAAAACAGAGGCAAATTGTATTAAATTCAGCAATCAACAGTAACGATTACATAAGAATTCCATGACAGTACTTCTCATATAAACTCCCTAATTACATAACTGAATTGAAATAATAAAAAGAAAATGTGGAAGATAGGTTCAGAGGTGTTGGAGAGCCTCTGATCTCTCCTAAGTCTCAATCCTCATTCTTCCCAAAAGATCTGTCTCATTTCTTCTGCCTTCTCCTTTATTCCCATGCACTAACCGTCTGCTGACTCAGCCATCACGTTTGTTGCACCAGCTGCCATAAGGAAAGGATTACCATGTGTTGCACCTGTATCAACATTTGGTGCACCGCTAGGAGATGCTAATTCCTTATCAACATTTGGTGCACCGCTAGGAGATGCTAATTCCCTGATACGCTGCCTATGATAAGTCTTTAATATAGGAGGAGTTGTATCACCCATCAATCAGCACATATCAACAGCACTAAATATAGCAGCTTAACATCACTTTTTATAGGTCAGTAAGGAAAGAGTACAATGCCAAGGGAAAAAATGCAGCGTGAAAGAGATTGAGAAGATTAATTTCAATAATTTTATCATGATTCTAACAATCTTCATAAGACTGGGAAAGTGGGAGTTGACGGCTATATCATGAGGTACATATGGAGTCCATCATACACTGCCAAACCTGTTCTTGTCATTAATTTTTCTATTAAAAAATTGAACTAGGGCATGCAAACAGCCATAGTTCATAACATAACCAAACTGGGTAGAAGACATATTTTCAATTAATCAACTAGGTGGAACCTGGCTAAGACAGGGTAATACAGTATTTAAATAATATGTTAAAAAGGACATAAAGAGTTAAAACAATTACCAAGACGTTCACGTTCTCGATCAGCATATCTGACAACAACAGGTGCTAATTCCTATGAAATGTTAATGCGTCAAGCAATAAAGATGTGTTTAAATAAATGAAATGAATATCAGAAAGCAATGGTTCAAGTCATCCATCATATGTAAAATTGTTCTTACCCCAGGAAATGTGTACTGATTGCTTAAAGCCTTAATAGCGCTGTCAGCTTCATTTAATGTTGCATATTTCACAAAACAACTTCCTGTGTGAGTTAAACAAAATTTAGATTAATGTGAATACTTGTAGATAGGATATACAACATATATTAATGGAAGCCTCAAGTTAAACTCATTACTCAAACCAAATTGCACAAACTGATGATGATAAAACAAGTGAAATAAAAGTCAATACAGAGATACCTTGTCGTGCACCAGTTCTTTTATCCTTTAGAAGAACAACCTCAACAATAGTTCCATGTCCTTCAAACACAAGGCGTACCTGATGAAAAATTTAAAAACAACGATGAAGTAGGTATAGAAGAAAATAATAAACAAATATGGTGTTGAGCATTCTGCTAAAAAGATGCATTATTCAACGTCAAAAATAAATGAATGAATAAATAAATCCATCCCTTTTGGTGGGGAGGGGAAAGAGAGAGGAGAAGTGGGTTGAACATCGTAGTAAAACATTCTTCAACCATACATTAGAGGGAAGGCACTTCAAATTCATCTATAGGTAGGGTACAATATCTTGTTAAATTTGAAAAAAGGTTACAATTTGGCAAATTGTGCCATTATGCCTGCAGGCAAAAGATAGAGCAAATCTTATCATAATGAAATCCTGACATCCCAGAGTGTTGCTTAGTTGGAACCAGGATTACAATGACAATTAGAGCACAACTGGTGTAGAAAATAGATTTTCGGAGGAATCAAAATGGGATTGGGAATGGGGTTGGAATGGAATGATAATTTCTACTCTAGTGTTTGGCTACGTAAGAAATGAAATGACATTTTTTTCATTTCAATATCTATTATGCTTGGTACATGGAATCATCATGGAATGGATCACATTGTAACAAAATGAAGATAAACAAGGTAATAAAACAAAACTTAATTGATTCCTGGTCATCAGGAACCACCATTCCCACCACCTTAGGAAAGAATGGAGATTCAAGTCTCTGCAGAATCAAGGCCTTGAATTGAATTCGCATGTGTGCTTTTCAAGTACTGTTCTGTACTAAACATATGATTCATCATTCTCATGGAATAGACACAAGATTCCAATGATCATTGGTATATACCATACATACTCTTATATCCTCCATTTCAAATGCAACAATAGTCTGACAAAAAGTTGATGGTTCACAATTCATAGGAAAGAGACTTACATCAGCCTCTGTTGCTGTTCTTGGAACTGGTGCAACATAAACTTTTACATGACTCCCCTCATCAACTTGATCTGCAGGAATGAAGGAGAGCAACTGTGATCCTAACCAGGCATAAAAAATAACTACAAAGTATGTTCTTATGGAGGATAACAAGAAAAACACCAAAGTGATTTTCCCCCATTGGTCCCAACATGGTAGAATATAAAGTACAATGCAGAGTCCTGACTCAGGAATACAATTACGTAAAGACAGTATTTGAATCAAAAAGTGATCAATAAAGATACCATCAACATCAAAATCCAAGAGCAGAAAGCTATCTTGATGATCCATTCTAAATAAAATAGCAACTTGGTGGTAACTAGTAAGGCAAAATGATACACCCAAGCTGACTGACTTGGATTGGGCTTTTCTAAAAAAAAAAATTTGGTAAGCTATAATTTATTCCATAGTTTAGGGCTTTTCAATAATTGTTAATTATTTCCTTTTTGTTATTTTTAGATTATGTTTGAATGTGCGTTGAAAGAGGGCGAACCAAAGTGGTAAAGCTGTTCTTTCATGACCTTTCAGTCATGGGTTCGAATCCAGGAAACAGCATCTTTGCAATTATGCAAGGGTAAAGCTGCGTACAAGGATTAACTCCACCCACACTGGCTAGTTGGGTTTAACGGAGAGTGGTTTTTTTTGTTTGAGTGTGCGTTGAGTGCGTTATCTCCTTTTATTGCGTGTGATTATAGTTATTTACTTTTTTGTTATTTTATTTTGCCTATTTAAGGCTTGGAGAACCTTATTATTATTTGGTTAAGAAAAGAGAAAAGTATTTTTTTGCAATTCTTGTTTCGTTATTCTGTTTGTTCTTTCTGTTTAACCAATAGATTACTGCGTCGGCATTACAGAAAGTCATCATATTTTTTTATTTTATTTTTTTCAATACAAGCATCGAGTGGTCTTTTGTTATCAAAATGTTGAAATTCAAATTGCAACGAAGACACCCTGAATCTAGTAGTAACAAAATTACAATGTCATTGAACATCGTATGCCAAATTAGACTGGTTATCTAAAAGCAAGTGAACGTAATAAGGGATATTAAATTAAACCATGAACGATATACAAATGAAATTCAAAAACAAAAATAGTTATAACAAAGGCCAAAGAAATTTGGTAGTACCTGAAGAAGTTCCTTGGTTTGAGTGATTCCAAGGTCGTTTGCGAGCAAGACGATGCATGGAATGGTCTGGAGCACATCCAGAATCGACGATGGGCATGGGTTGGTGCTGGTTAAAGTGTTGATCATGGTTCGGGAAGCCATTGCCATTATCGTGGTTGTGAGGGTTTGTTGGGTCCACACTGAAATTGACCCTTTGGTCCGAATGCTCTTTCTGAATCTCCAGCTTCGTCAACTCTCAATTACACACACGCACTTACTTTGCCCTAATCCCTAGATACACATTACATCAACCCAAGGAACACAAAACCAACAACAAGCTTTGGCATTTACCGTTGCTCTTCTGCTCTGCTTCCAAATCAACTGTCACTAATTCTCGCGTAATTTACCCTGCACTGGGGTTTAGCTTTTTCTTTTAAACAAAAAAGGTTTTTGTTATCAAAAAAAAAAAAAAAAAAGGTTTTGACAGACTACAGAGTAAAGACAATGAATAATTGAGGGTGTGAGTCGTATATGGTGTGATTTGGCCGTCTATGGACAAAAATAAAAATTAAGACCGACAATAACCAGATTAAAGGATTTATATATAAATATTTGTGTTATATATATGATAGGATCCTTTGACATCGGTGTCAAATTTGAAGTTTGACACCTCATCTGAGAGCCGTTAGATCAAAAAAGATCAATGGTGTCACATACTTACAAATCAGAGTCGTTGATCTTTTTTGATCTAACGGCTCTCAGATGAGGTGTCAAATTTCAAATTTAACACCGATGTCAAATGATCATGCCTCTATATATATATATATATATATATATATATATATATATGGTGAATCGCATTGTTTTTATAACATTATATAAGGATTGTCATATAACATTATACTTGTTTTTTCCTAAAAAAAAATAACCAGATTACTTTTAAAAACTATTTTGGCACAAAGAATAACTTCTATATTGAACAAAGAGAAATGTTATACTTACAATTTTTTTTTACAATCTTTTACAATCATATCTTAACACCGTTGATTTCTGTCAATTAAAGGTTTATTATTTATTGTGAATTAATAATTAATTAATGAGTTTAATTTGTGAAAATGATAACCATTGATTGACAGAAATCAACAGTGTTAAAATATGATTGTAAAAGGTTGTAAAAAAAAATATTGTAATTATAACCTTCCTCTTAAACAAATACCAATCTTCGAAGAGAGGTTAAGAAGTTAAAAATAAACGCCAAGTTCAAAAGATTCTAAGCCAAATTCAAAAATCAATAAAAATAAACTAGCTTAACTTAGTTAGTAACACAATCTGAGTAGAGTAAGGAAAAAAATTAGGTTTAATTTCTATTAGACATATAGAGGTAAGATATTCATACTACCTAATTTTTTTACTACCACTTCACTACCACTCTAATCACCATTGGATTAGAGAAAAAGTTGAATGAAGAGAGAGAGAAAAAAAACAACTTTTGAATCCAATAGTGATTAAAGTGGTAACAGAGTAGTAGTAGAAAATTTTGGTAATATAAATATCCTACCTCTAGATATATATTTAGAGAGAGGTAATAAGTTTTAAATGTAATTAAGCCTCGACTTGTCATTAGTTTTATAGCCGGCTCAAAGAGTTGAAGCTTATAGGGATATCGAGGAACAATGAACTTTAATCGTAATTAAGTCATGAACTTTAACTGTAATTAAGTCCTAATTCGGGATTAGTTTCATAATTTATTCAAAAATTTGAAACTTGTAAGAATACCTAATCGATTAACCTCAAAGACTAGGCCCCAATTCAAGATTAGTTTCATATTTTGTTCAAAAATTTGAAACTTGTAAGAATACCTAATTGATTAACATCAAAGATTAGGATATATATATATATATATATATATATATATATATATATATATATATATTATGGGGCAAGTTTTTTTTTTTTTTGTAAATATGGGGCAAGTTTTTTTACATCAGTGTAAGACTAACAAATTTTACATCATATCTCAACGTTGATGAATGAAAATCATCGGTTAGTATTTATAGTGTAATTAATAATTAATTAATATTAATTAATTCGCATGACTTCATAAATTATAACCGTTGGATGCACGAAAATCAACCATTGAGATGCGTTGTAACATTTTTTAGTCTTACACCGGTGTAAAATGATCCTGATATATATATATATATATATATATATATATATATATATATATATATATATGTACGAGGAATGTTATATTTACAAATTTTTTGTTTACAAACTAAACTAAGTATAACCGGTCATACTTAGTATAATTTATAAAAAAAAAATTGTAAACGGATCATTTCCACACACACATATATATATATATATATATATAAACCTGGCCTCTATCTTTTTATAGAATTCAGAATATTATTTAGAACTTCTCTATGTATTTGTAACTTCTCTGACTATTTGATCAATTAAATTATGGAAACTTCTTCCCTATCTAGGCAGCATGCTAGCTGTGGAGGCCTTGCTAGAGATCACAATGGTGCTTTTCTGGGTGGTTTCTCTTTCAGATTAGGTTTCTGTAATCCTCTTGATGCAGAACTCTGGGGTATCCTCAAAGGTTTAGAGCTGGCCTGGGGTACTGGTGCTAGGAGAGTGGAGTTGGAATGTGACTCAGAAATTGCTCTTAGCACTATCCAAGAAGGGAGCAACAATCACAAAAACTCTCAGGTTGTTTCCCGTATTCACAAATGGCTTGCTGAAGATTGGGATTTTCGCTGGGTCCACACCTTTCGAGAAAATAACAGATGTGCTCACTGGTTTGCTTCTAGGCATTTTGAGGATGATAATAATTTTATTGTTTATCATTCTCCTCCTTCTCCTTTGTTAGAGCTCGTTCTTCAGGATGCTTCTGTAGATCTTTTAAGTTCTCGCGTCTTGTAATTTTTGTTTTGTTTGGGGCTTTTGCCCCTCTTTATTACAAAAAAAAAAAAAAAATTATGGAAAATACTACTCTCATTTTATATGAGGTAATTATATTATGTTATCTCACTTCGAAAATCTCATTCACTTTTTTTTTTCTTTTTTATCTTTTAATGGTGGGCCACATGTGTCTTCTTTCTATAACATGAGATAACTACTCTTATGTAAAATTAGAATAGCATTTCCCTTAAACTATTTGAATTGATTACAAATTTAGTGATGAAAAAATATCATTACAATTCTAGTGGCACAAATCCTTATTTCCTTAATTAAACAGTAGCATGAATGATAATAATAATTGTGCCTTAATTGGGTGAATAGATGTGTAAATTAATTTTGACATTATATAGAATAAACTATTTTAATTTATTAAAATAAAAAATAAGATTGATTTTTTTTTTCTCCCCCTGTGGAGAGTAAAAACGAAATCGGGTCGGGTGACCGGAGTAGCAACCCTAGCTAGAAAATGTAGATATGTGTTGGTACTCAGTCTTTTGTGGAAACGTAATCAACATTTCACGGTGCGGGAGGATCGTGTTTTCATCTCCAATCGTAAGTCTCCCTCTGTCCCCAAATCAAATGCCCTAGCTCTTTCATTTCCTCCCCAATCCCATTAGATTAGATTAACTACTTCAGCTTATCTTGTTTTACACCTTTATTCTCCGTTCATTTTAATTCTCTCTTCTTAATCTCTTTCGTTTTCGCTGTTTTCAACGCTTTCCCCCCGGAATTTGTTGTTTATATTCTTCGATTCGGTGTGTTTTTAAGTGAAGGGTTTATTGAGGAACTACCAATATAAGAACTTCGTCGTAAATTGCCACTTGTCGCGGCTTGCTTATCAAACTCATTCATTCGCCTTAATCCATGATGACCATCTCTGCACTCATAGCTTCGTCTTCATGTATACTAATTTACGGTTAACATTTGTCCCAACCATTATACCATTACATTCACGCTCAGATAGAATTGATCACATATAACGCATATTTCATCACGATTTATGGGAAATTATATTCGTGTCGTGCTCCTTAACAGAATAGCTTCTTCTTCTTCTTCTTTTTCTTTTAATTTTTCCCTTTATTGACTCACTCTTACTCTCTTGTAAGTTGTAAGTTTTTTTTTTTATTACTGGATTTCAGTATTGTTGCTTCATTTTTTGGAATGCAGGGGTTCAATCTAGATAGGGTATTCTTTTATGGCAAATGATCCAGATATCGATGACGAATTACGTGAGCTTTACAAGGAGTACACTGGCCCTCCGGGATCTGCTACTACAAATACGCAAGAGAGGGTAAAATCAAACAAAAGGTCTAATGCAGGGTCTGATGAGGAGGAGGAACCTCGTGATCCTAATGCTGTCCCAACCGATTTCACCAGCCGAGAAGCAAAGGTTTGGGAAGCTAAGTCAAAGGCTACTGAAAGGAATTGGAAGAAAAGGAAAGAAGAAGAAATGATCTGCAAACTTTGTGGAGAATCAGGGCATTTCACTCAGGTATGATGGTTCCTCTTAGTATCTTCAGTTTACCCCTGTGCCAACATTTCTGCTTATGTAAGCATTGACATGTTGTTTACAAGTCTATCTCGTGCTAATGTGGTTAAATTTTAGATATTGATGGATTGTTAGTTTGTTACAACTGAATTCAATGGAGAAAAGGAGGTAATGAGATAATTTAGTTGTCTCTTCACTTCATTTTAATCCTCCCACATCCACCAGAAAATTTAACAAAAAGAGGCTATTATTATTATCATTATCATCATTATTTTAGTTGAATGCTATTCTACTTCGCAAAATAGGGTTGTCCGTCTACCCTTGGAGCAAACCGCAAGTCTCAAGATTTCTTTGAAAGGATACCAGCAAGAGACAAACATTTGAGAGCACTTTTCACAGAGAAAGTTATAAACAAGATTGAAAGGGATATTGGCTGCAAAATTAAGATGGACGAGAAATTTATTATTGTCAGTGGTAAGGATAGATTAATTTTGGCAAAAGGTGTTGATGCTGTGCACAAGATTAGAGAGGAGGGTGATCAAAGGGGCTCTTCTAGTTCTCACATGACCAGATCAAGGTCACCTGAGAGAAGTCCAGTTAATGCTCGGTTTCAACGCTCTGAGCCCCAAAGGTCTCATTCTGGACCACGAAATACATCTCAGTTTCAACAAAGGTTTGGTAGGCAAGAGCGGACTGTGGAAGACCGTGTCCGAGAGGACATTCAAAAGTTTGCAAGAAGTTCTCCACAAGGTAGGGACAGCGTAGGATATGTTTACGGCATCCTTAAAAAGCTGGTAATCTCATGTTCGTAGCTTGTTAGGATTCTGTATACTACTATTTTCTTGAGAAAAAAAATATCCTCAAATGGCCTGCATTTTAATGATGTTGCTCTTGCTTGTCATTTACTTGCAGCAAGAGGTAAGTTCTTAGCCTTCAAGCATTATCTCCATCCTGAAGGGTTGCCTCCATTACAAACATATTTACTGAAAGGATTGGCTCCCATGGTTTCAGTATGCGTATAAAAAGATAGTTTTTGAATTAAAGCTATGTTCTTGAATCAAGTGCAATTTGTTGAATTTAAAGCAAATCATATATGTTGGCATCCTGAATCAAGTACTTAACATACTCTTCATTTCATGAAGCTTATGGAAGTAGTGGAGCTAGAGGTCGTTCAAGCCAGTCAAGATCTCCAAGACAGGCCCCTTATACAGGGAACTCATATAATTCATTTGATGGCCGTAATCAGAACATGGGTGCTTATAGGAATGATGGGTGGGATTCCCATAGAAGAGAATCTGGTATCCAACCAAGTCATCAGTTTGATTACAATGCCTCCCCTCAGACTTTAGAAGAATTAGAGTTGGATTATAAGAACGAGGCATCAGAGCTAATGAAAATCCGTGACAGAGAAGAAGATGAAGAAAATTTCAAGCATCGCGAGGTATGATCATTGGTGATGCATGTTTTTTGCACATCTTGAGTTATAATTAACAATATTTTGTTCTTGCACATGTCATCTTGCTAAATTAGTGAAGTATTAGAACCTTGGATGGTTTTATTGGGAATTAAATTAACCAACTGCAGAATTATATTTATTTTCCATGTGATGTTTTTTCGAATATCAGTGATGTTAGTCAAGTCTTACAGTCCAGTATTTTCTTGTACTGCTGATGCCTGATGCTAATGTTAACCCTTTGGTTGTGAGACTAATAACTGGTAAAGGGCTGCTGGTTAAAATTAATCTGAACTTTGTTCCCCTGTTTTCTTGCAACTTGGTTTGTATTGCATGTTTTTTAGATTTTTATAAGTAAGGAAAAGTAAAATTGGAAGAGTTATTATTTCTCAAGTTATATTGAATCTCTCAAAGTACTCTTTTGTATGTTTTCTACAACTTCACGATTTCTAATAATTTGTTTATTGCTGGAAGGCTATTAGAGATTTGAGGGAGAAGTACGTGAGCAAAGTTGCTTTGATGAGGGCCACACACACAAAACACTGGGAAGAATTTCTTCAGCTTGATGCCCAAAGGCGTCAGCAGCAGACAATTCAACCAATGCCTTCTGGTTATCGGGGCTATAAACAGCACAATTATTCTGAATATGATGGGTCCACCGTCAATCCTACCTATGCTGGAACCAATTTACCCTTGGAATCAAGGAACAGGTTCTCAGACACTATGGAGAGTTATCCTACTAGGGCTCATGATAATTTTGGTGAATTTCAGAGACGTGGAGATTTTGCAAAAGCTTACAACAGATATTGAAATTCTATATATTAATCAAGTGGTGAGTTATTCTACTGATTTTGTCTGTCAAACCTACTTAAAAAAGAATATAATATTTTTGTTTAGATCTTTTGGCTCTTCTCAATTGTACAGTTGGTGAACTCCTTGTCTTATTCTGGTAAGCATCACTCATCAGATATGGATCTTGGCTCGGGGTTGGATTGCTATTCTATTTAATTCATTTGGTAGTATACAATAGTCTTCAGGACCTGTGATGTTGTTGATGTTGTCACATAGAAGGGTCTAATGTTGTGAAGTTCATAGATCTTTTTTTTTTTTTTTTTTTGATAACACGTTCATAGATCTTTCGTTGACCAAGGATGTCATTGCAGTTTGTTGTAGTGGATATTTCAGATTCTGTGTTTCCTTTTCAACCATGAGCTTTAATTTTGCTCGAAAAAATTTTCAGGGTCCACATTGATCGAGTAGGCGTTTAATGCATGGGAGCCCATAAGGTAGGTAAGATGTTGACTAATCTAAGGATTGGGAAGGGACTGCGTTCCAGTAGACGGATCCAGTTCCTTTTTGGATTATGGTTGCTCAGCTTCGTTAAGAACTTTGCTGTAAGTTGTGATGCATTATTGGGTTATTATCCCTAACTGGTAACATGGTACTGCAGCTTGGTCAATGTTGTGTTATAGGGAGATCCTCTGAAAGACTGGTTGATTTCAGTACAATGAATTTTATCATTTGTTAATACGCAGGTGTTTGATGTACCCTAGAGGGTACTCATGAATTATTGAGGTATGGTTTCTCTAGGTACATGGCCCCTCTTGCTAATATAAACTTATCGAGGTGGTGGTCTAGTTACTTGGTATCCCGTGATATCAATATCGAATGATGATTGAAGTGGTTTAATGATATGCGTGAAGAGTTGAACAAATGGTATCAAGACGGGTTTATGTTGAATTGCAAGTTAACATAGAAGTTATAGATTTATCATTACAGATTAAGGGAAGGATTTTTGAAGAACCTAAATTCATCAACATTCGTAAAGGGGAATGAATTTAAAAAAGAATTATTTGTAGGACAACCAATTTTTGTAGGGGATATTTAGCAACTCTTACAATTTCGAAACTTTGTGGCCATAAATTATTTATGAGGAGTATGTGGCCAAAAAGAATTCCATGGTTTATAATTCAGTTATAGAAAAATATTGTAGAATGAATTAAATTTTACTATATTAACTTTTTAAGTACTTTGTAATTTAAATTTATGAACTTTAATTTTGTTTTGGTAACCAGTTAAGGTCTTAATAATTTATATCAATTTGAAAAAGAAATCAGTTTATAATGTTCATTCTAAAAAAGTATTGAAGGACGTCAAACATCTATATATCGGTAGTTGATAAATTATAATGGTAGAGAAGCCAAGAGGAAAGAGATAGGGGAGGAAGTGACTGAAAAATTAAATGAATGAGCTAAAGCGTTCAATGATAAATTATAAGAGATCGTGATATTGGAGAATGGGATTTTATTTTTGTACTTTTGATTGTTCTATATTTTTTTTTTTTGGTAAACATAAAAACGATTGTATTCTATATTATTAATGTGGGAAGTTGAAATGATACATTGTTAATGGTACCAAATAATAGATTTTTGAAAATTTTATAGTTGAAATGAGCTCCTTATATAGCATTGCTTCCTATTTTTTAATTAAAGTTAACAAAGGCGAGAATTGCATAACTTTTTTGAGGTTAGTTGTTGTCATATGGCATTTTCTTCTTTAGAAATTTTTTACACATCTTTTATGGGTTATATTACAGTGCGTTGGCCTACACTTACTCACGCCCTAATTCCCTACGCAAAAAGTATACATTGCGATCTAGAGCACTGCTTTCCACTCCTTAAGCGTGTATACATCCCCATTGGTTTGAGGTTCTAATCTTACTCATATAAAACACGCATACCTTCGTTCCGTTAATAAAAATACCAATCTTCATTTACTAGACATACATGACTGAACAATTACGTTATACTTTTCCTTATTTGTATGACAACATCAGAGCAATTAGCAATTCCACAAATTGGTTTTGGAAATGAGTAGTGTTCCGGGTTTATAACTCGGATGAGTCTACTTAGACATAATCTGGGAAGTTCATATATTATTATCTGGATAAAATAAGCCGGTGGATTATGAATCTGTCTACACAAAACCCATAAGTAGAACCTAAATCATGAGCCCTTTTCAGATCACAGAATTGGAGCCCAAAGTGTGGGCCTCAATCCACGATTCTTTCATATTATATGATAATAAGACAACGATTATTATAACTGCCAAGTTAGTAACTACCTCATATCCATTAATAATAATTGTTAATAGAACCAAATGATGGTAGTTCAGTTGTCGCATGAGAGCTAAGCAGGTAGGGGTGAGAGCATGTGTTCGATCCCTCCGTGTCACATTTGGAAGGGGTTTAAAGCCTTAATTTTGGACTCGCCCCGAATTGTACTAGTTGCGAAGTGATAACCGATTGGAATATTTTCAAAAAAATAACTGTTAATAGAACATATATAAAGAGGAAGATACAGTTCAAAGGGGATTAAGTTCAGATCTACCATAAGCATTACCAAACCGATTTAACCTTTAATGTTCACACTGAACAGGTAGCATTTGTTTATGCGTCAACCGCCAATTGTAGCCTATCTGCATTATTGAGTTATGTTCTCAATTGGTTTTAAACAATCACGAATGGGTCGGTTTTCTGATGAAAAGAAGCAAGTGACAACAAATGCGAGTTACGAATATGGAAACATATGACAAGTGTGGTACAAATGCTCCTAGGCAAAAGAATTTAAATATTTCTTTTTTAATAAATAATTATGCAAATGTAGTTGTTTTGAAACTATTTACGCAGGTATAGCAGTCAAACACGCCTACATGGGGCGTGACCCAGTAGAGAAGACACGCCTATATGGGGCGTGGCCTAAGAGAGAGAGACGCCCACATAGGGCGTGACCAGGAGAGAGACACGCCCACATGGGGCGTGACCCAGAGGTGAGAGACACGCCCATGAGGGGCGTGACCTAAAAGAGAGACACACCCATGTATGGCGTGATCAGGAGAGAGACACGCTCATCATGGGCGTGACCTCCCTGGTCCTTAATTAAAGTTGGAAATAGTGATCAGATACTTGTGTTGCTTTTTAAAGTTGGAAATGATGGAAATGGTGATCAGAGACTTGCGTTGCTTTTTAAAGTTGGAAATGGTGATCAGAGACTTGCGTTGCTTTTTAAAGTTGGAAATGATGATCAGAGACTTGCTTTGCTTTTTAAAAGTGCTGATAACGTAACAAACGAACGACTTGGCCTTATTTAAATTGCGTTGCTTTTTAAAAGTTGAAAATTAAGGACCAGGGAGGTCACGCCTTTGTTGGGCGTGTCTCTCTCCTGGTCACGCCCCATGTGGGTGTGTCTCTCTCTTATGTCACTCCCTACATGGACGTGTCTCTGTCCACTGGGTCACGTTCCATGTGGGCGTGTTTGACTGCTATACCTGCGTAAATAATTTCAAAACGACTACATTTGCGTAATTATTTATTAAAAAAGCAATATATAAATTTTTTTGCCAATGCTCCTATTCTTTTTCTCTTCTTTTCTTTTTTGTCTTAAAATACGTACCACTTTAAGTTTGTGTGCTATTCTTTTTTGTCTTAACCATGTCTTTTTCGTCTTAACCATGTCTTTTTCATTCATTCTCTTTTACCTTTCAATCAAGTAACTCGGTTTGTGTGGTTTGTGTGTGTGTGTGTGTTTCTTTTTTAAATATATGAGAAGCAAAGTTAGAAGAGGAAAAGTGATGAAGGCCCAAAATTCCTACGTCAACTCAATACTTTAATTTTTAGGATTTGAGTTAGCATCAATCGAACTATAAATGTTGGCTTATCTTTAACAACTTATTCAACTTGTCTTCAAAATCAAACTAGTACCATGGAGCAGCGGGCCATCCATCTGAAGAACCGCAAATTCAATCTTGAAATCATCTGTGATTTGTTGCAAGTGAAAGAACAACTCGGTTCTGAAGATCCAATTAGTTGGATCGTTGCCACAAAAATGAGGAATATCCATCTTGATTGTCTTCAATGTTGTTTGAGCGTCAAAGGAGGAATCACGAGTCTGATTGGAATATTCCGGCGAAGAGTGGGTAGGAGAAAACTCGCGAAAACGAGCCTCCTTGGAATCACTAATTTCTTGTACCTAGGGCACCAACAATTAAAGCTGCTACTGAAGTTGTAAATGGGAGTGCTGCTAAGTCTTCAATGACTTCCTAGATCTTTATCAACGATCAGGAAGGGAGAACGAAAAAAATGGAAAGAAACGTAGCTTCTGTATTATTTCATGCATGAAACATTATGTACAATTGTTCACTCTTTGTTGATAAATATAATCAACAATCAGAAGTCTAAAACATTTTATATCAACGTGTAATAAATGAAGAGTTGTCTCTAAATTGAATTTTTCTGAAGTGTGTATTTGTGACATATATATTAGATGAAGAGTTGACAAATATTTGAGTTATTACGTTTAATATTCTAACAAACACTTAGCCACACAAAGACGGATTTGTTAGACAGTAAATATTAGAAGAAGAAAAATGTGAGTAGAAGAAAACACACGAAAATGAGCCTCCATGGAATCACCCAATTGTTGGACCGAGGACACCAACAAAGAAAGCTGAAGCTGTAAATTGGAGTCATTCATGCGATGCTGCAGCGCTGCTAACTCCTCAGCGACTTCCCGGATCTTCACCAACGATCAGGAATAGAGAACGAAAAGACTAGAAAGAAACGTAGCTTCTGTATTATTTCATGCATTGAAATTTTTGTACAACTATTCACTTTTTGTTGATAAATAAGTTGAACAATCAGAAGTCTAAAACATTTACTTAACTTTCAATTCCAAAGTCCCAAAATGATAACGCAAGGCACGAGCAAAATCTGCACAATAATTAATCTTGTCGCTTCTGTAGACTCGCTAATACCATGGAGCAACAGGTCCATCCATCCGAAGACCCGCCAATTCAATCTTGAAATCATCTATGATTTGTTAAAAGTGAAAGAACAACTCGAGACTGAAGATCCTATTAGTTGGATCGTTGCCACAAAAAGGAAGTATCTTCGTCTTACCCGCCTTAAATGTTGCTAGAGCGTCAAAGGAGGAATCACGAGTCTTATTGGATGATTCTAGCGATGATTTGGTAGCAGAAAACACACAAAAATGAGCCTCCATGGAATCACCCAATTATTGGACCTGGGACACCAACAAAGAAAGCTGAAGCTGTAAATGGGAGTCATCCATGCGATGCTGCAGCGCTGCTAAATCCTCGGCGACTTCCCGGATCTTCCCCAACGATCAGGGTGGACACATAATTTTGTAACATTTTGTACTGTATGTTGAAATGTAAAAAATAAAAAAAATCGGAATGGAACAGAGAAATTAAAGGAGAAGAAATTTGCAGTATGGACAATAAAATATGATCTAACATATTTGTATCTTCTTTTGTATATTTGATTTCCCCCCAACAAGCAAAACACTGCTAACTACCCATACCCTACATGTAGGATACAAGCTAACTAAAATAATACATGCATTTAAACCACAAAATCGTTTAGCCTCATAGAACTTTTTCTAGAACGAGTTGTTATTCTCAATGTAACATAATCTAAATGAAATAAGGGCGGTGATGTTTCTTCCTTGAATCTCCTACCATTATTGATCCGTTCGCATCAACACTTGCAGCTACCTGCATTTTTACACATAAATCTATTAATTTCCATGCATGAAAATATATTCTCAGCTAGCAGAAGGTTTTCAATCTTCCATATGGGTGAGATTATAACCATTGAAGTGATGATTTTCTATCCAAAATACCTGACCCTTTGCCCATCTCATGACTTCCATGTTTATTGGCCTCAGGGTAATTACTTGGTGGTCTTCATCTTCTGAGATTTGAACTTCTCCCTTATTTTATTGAAATAAGACGCAACGTTCATGACACAGCTATATAGAAAATAACAAATACACATTAAGATAAATATCATTTTAAAGTTCAAATTATTAGAAGTGATTTGGTAACTACCACAGTCTTCAAACTCTCCTGTTGTAATAGCTCCCTAAGAGGTTCTCTAGCTGCAGTTCTGCACAATATCTGATCACAGAAATTAATGTCAATATATTATCGCCACTAACTTGAAGGAATTAGAGTAACCGAGAGGATGAACCTTAAGATCACTTCCACTATATCCTTCTATCATGGTTGAAAGCTCTTCGAAGTCTAGATTTTCATGGTTTTCTTTAGCCACGAGATATTCCAATAACGATACCTTGTTCTTAGCAGATGGAAAACCAACCATGATCTTGCTCAGCATTTCAATGAACAGGAGATGTCATTGATATATATATAAAACAATAGTTTGCAACTAAACAGAAGCAACAAATGATCATGCCCATTAAATTACAAAAATGCAGCCCTACCTGCGTTCAAACCATCTTATAATTGCTTCATCAAGGTAAAATGGTCTATTGGTTGCAGTAAGAATCAAAATTTGATTACCAGGTTTAGTCATTAGCTCATCCCATTGCAAAATGAATTCATTTATAATCTTCATCATTGCCTCATCATTAGGAATTATTTGTCCTGCTTTGATCAGCAGGTTTTGCCCAAGGATGCTATCAACCTCATCAACAAAAATAATAGATGGGGCAACCTTTGCTTCTACTGTAAACATAGCTCGGACATTCATTACCTCTTGCTTATTATACCACCGTGAAGTGATGATGGATTTTGAGACATGAATTAAACTTGCTCCAATTTCATTTGCAATTGCCTTTGCAAGCATTGTTTTTCCTGTACCAGTAGGTCCGTAAAACAATACACCATCACAATGATTTAGAACCACTTCTTTAAGCATTTTCTTAATATCATCCAAACCACCAATATCTGCAAATGTAACCCCGATCTTATTTGCATCCATAATCGTTTCTCTTATGCGTTTTTCAAACACATTGTTAGAAGGAAATTCCTGCAAACGCGCATCTAATTTATGGTAACCAAGATGAATAAGAAAAGGAAATCAAAAGTCTAAATAAAACATTTAACTAATTCAGCCACATGTCCTTGGTGACTCTAGGATCATATAAATGGGTTAGTAAAATGTATAGTAAGAGCATGATTGTAAAAATATTTTTAAGAGCATGATCGTACAACAATTTGTAATGAGTATCCATTTCCTATAAAGTATAGTCACAAACCTCATAATGTGCACTTATTTGCATTAATTGACTTGTATGTGAATTGAGTTGAACCATGACAAGATTTACTTAGAATGTCAACTATAACATTATTACTATCTTGGATATAGAACAATCGGGAAAATCTTTATGCATATCATAAAATAGCCATGCATTCTCATCTATAGTGCTTCAAGATCAAGAATGCCTTAATTTCCACGATTCTGATACAAAATAATCTTCGAATTCAATAAAATATAGAATAAGAATAAAAAAATTGCAATTTGAGCTTCGACCTTGTCATTTACTCAAGTAAATGAACTCTATTTATTCGAATAAATAATGGATTACATTGAAGAAAATTTGCATAGACTGTGACTCTTCTCCAAATTGCTTCACACCTGTACTAATGCATCCATACACCTTCTAAGGACTCAAAATAAAATTCTCAAGGTAAAAAAAAAAAACAGACTTTTACACATTCAAGTACAATTTCTATGACTACAAGTAAACATCCAACATATGAGCAGAAAGGGCGCATGAAATCAATTGTAACCCAAGAACAGGCATACGAACAACCAAACTTAGTGTTTAACTCAGAATATACAGAGTCATTTCAACATAAGGTCAAATTTCTAAAATGTGCAAAAAAAAATTCTTACTACTTTGAAGCAGCTTATATTTCAAGTTCAAAAAACGATTATAAGTTCTACTGCTCCTATATCTAAGTTGTTGAGATGTCATTGTTGCTTGTTTAGATCAGCAGAAGACCAAGGGAAGTTAAAAAGAACACACACAATTTACAGTATGGTTAGATAAATCAGTTTCTAAAACATAAATGCACTGGTTGTTATTTGGGTATTTTGAAAGCCTCGTTAAGTTACTAACCCTCACCGGTAATTGTGGCACTACGCTGGAAAAAAAGCTTGCCAAACTACTATTAAAGTCGGCTTTCAAAACTAAATCTCATTTGTGTATCACCCGATATTACTTTAACATCATCATAAGTTCATAACAACCTTGATTATATAGTTGCAAGGAGAAATTGAATGAAATAGTGAAAAAGTACTACAATAACGTTTTTCATTCATTATGAGGTTATCCTTTCTCATCACATTTCCCAATAAAAACATAGTGGTGCATTAATTGCCCATATTTTTCACTTCGATATATACCTTGTCTAAGTGTTCGATGATAATATTTTGCGATTTGGTAAGACAAACCATACATATCTAAAGTTATCCCTATCCAATAAAAACATAAAGCAATTGATGATATAAAATGTATGAATTTCCTATGCATAGTAATCGACTATGTTGTACCGACACCGACACAGGACATGGGATACGATACGACACGACACTCCAACACCTTAATTCTAAAAAATGTTAGATTTCGACACGTTAGGACACGTTTTGATATTACATAATATTTTTAATTTATATGGTGTATATTATATTTAATATTCAATAATTAAACAAAAAAATGAAGCTAAACTTATAATATCCATCAATTTTGCAAATAAATATAAGATGTCTCATATATTTATGTTAAACTCAATATAATGGTAATCATAATCTAACGAATCTAATAGTTGGAACTAAAAACGCAACGTAATGCAACCTTTTAACCTGTTTTTGAGTCTCTACAATGCGTGATGAAGTGTCGGGAAGTATCGAAGTATCAGAGAGTTTCGGGAAGTGTCGGTGCATCGTAGGTAACCGATGGCACAAATTTAATTTATTATTCAAGTACAAAAATTAACATCCTTTTTCATTTCAAAAGAAAACGATGGCACATAACTCAATAGTCAGGCAATCATTAGAAATGAAAGCAAAATTACTTACATTCGAGTCATAGGCCAGCTGCATCGCGTGTAACAAGGATATCGGGTGATGAAGCTTGATTGCAAAACTGAGATTAGTTTTTAAACATGCAATGAAAAATTTTATCAGCATCACGTCGGACAAGTTCGAAACCTGACTCGCCAGGATCTCAAATTCACTGACGTAATCCCCCAAGGACACAGTTTGGGACAAGTTGGAGAGGAGACCCTGGACACTTTTTGACGAAGTCCCAAAACGAGATCTCAAGACAAAAGCAAAATTTGCCCAAGACTTAATCATGTAGCTTTTGTAGATGCATTGGTACCATGAACCAGCAGGGAAATCCATTCGAAGACCTGCCAATGCAATATTGGAATCCTCTGGGATTTTTTGCAATTTAAAGAACAACTCCATTCTGAAGATCCAGTTAGTTGGATCATTTCGAATAAGGAACCACGACTACGTGAAGAGTAGTCGGTAGTAGAAAGCTCACGAAAACGAGCCTCCATAGAATTACCCAATTGTTGGACCTGGAAGACCAACAAAGAAAGCTGATGCTGTAGCCGTGAATCAGGGCTGCTAAGTCCTCGACGACTTCCATAACGATGCAGTTCAGATGAAACGTGTTAACCGAACGATGGAACGAAACTGAACGAAAAGAATGCAGAGAAAGGTAATTGTTAACCCAACGATAGAACGAAAGGGAACGAAAAGAATGGTAGCTTATGTACCAAGGAACAACTGTTCACTCTCTTGTCATGGGCTTATTTCATTGAGAGGATTTGAAAAACCCTAAGTTCTAGAACATTTTTTTTCTTTTTTTTTTCTTTTTAGCATTTCATTCTTTGTCGTTTATACTTTATATTATTATTTTATCTTAAACTATTCTTTAGTTTGTTTTCAAGACGAAAAAGACGTACATCCCTTTTGTGGAACCTTGTCTCAGCCTTTATAATCTAGACGACCGACAATAGACAATAGTCTTTTTCAATGCGCGATTCAAGGCATTTTCTAATGCAATTCTTGCGATTTGGGTCCAAAAAGGATCAAATAAATCAAGTTTTGATATGATTTTAAAAACCTTAACTTAATTCACAAATGAGTAAAATTGGGGTTTCAATTTCTATGCAAAACTAGTGCATTACCCGTGCGATGCATGAAAAAAAAAGATCAAATTTTTTGCCGGCGACCGTTGTTGATTAATTTATAAGAAAAAGAACGTGTCATTATTTTCGTACACACACTCACACACACATATATATTAGTGTATTACTCGTGCGATGCACAGGAAAAAAAATCATTTTATTTGACTTGTAAAAATTAAGTCAAATCGTAAGAGAATATCGCTACATTTTATGCATGTAAGGTAATAAATGGTTTTCTGAATTACCACATTTAACTTCAACTATGCAGTGTTTATTGGAATATTAAACGTACTAACTCAAATATTTGCCAACTCTACATGTACAAAAAGTTGGAGTTAGGTACCTCATAGTATTAGTTAGACAATAACGGCCCTCCGGACCGAGCCTATTTTGTCATCTCTAACTGTCAACATTTTATATCAACATGATTTCTTAGACAGTAAATATAAGAGAAAAAAAGTGTTGGCGGGCTAACCCGCCCGTTTGGAATGTGGGGTGGGTCGGCCCTCTAGGCCGAACAAATTTTGCCACCTCTAACTGTCAGCATTTTATATCAACGTGTAATAGATGATGAAGAGTTGTCTCTAAATTAAATTTTTTTCTGAAGAGTTGACAAATATTCGAGTTATATTAGTTGAAGAGTTGACAAATATTTGAGTTATTACGTTTAATATTCTAACTAACACTTAGCCACACAAAGACGGATTTGTTAGACAATAAATATAAGAAGAGGAAAATTGTGGGTAGCAGAAAAAACACAAAAATGAGCCTCCATGGAATCACCCAATTATTGGACCGGTGACACCAACAAAGAAAATTTAAGTTGTAAATGGGAGTCATCTATGCGATGTTGCAGCGCTGCTAAGTCCTCGGCGACTTCCCGGATCTTCACCAACGATCAGGAAGAGAGAACGAAAAGAATAGAAAGAAACGTGGCTTTTGTATTATTTCATGCATTGAACTTTTTGTACAACTGTTCACTTTTAGTTGATAAATAAGTTGAACAATCAGAAGTCTAAATCATTTACTTAACTTTCAATTCCAAAGTCCCAAAATGATAATGCAAGTCACGAGCAAAATCTGCCCAAGAATTAATCTTGCTGCTTCTGCAGACCCACTAATACCACGGAGCAGCAGGGCCATCCATCCGAAGATCTGCCAATTCAATCTTGAAAACATCTAGGATTTGTTACAAGTGAAAGAACAACGTGAGACTGGAGATCCTATTAGTTGGATCGTTGCCACAAAAAGGAGGAATCTTCGTCTTACCCGCCTTCAATGTTGCTAGAGCGTCAAAGGAGGAATCACGAGTCTTATTAGATGATTCTAGCGAAGAGTGGGTAGCAGAAAACACACAAAAATGAGCTTCCATAGATCACCAAATTGTTGGACCTGAGACACCAACAAAGAAAGCTGAAGCTGTAAATATGAGTCATCTATGCGATGTTGCAGCGCTGCTAAGTCCTCGGCGACTTCTTGGATCTTCACCAACGATCAGGAAAAGAGAACAAACAGAATAGAAAGAATCGTAGCTTCTGTATTATTTCATGCATTTAACTTTTTATATAACTGTTCACTTTTTGTTGATAAATAAGTTGAACAATCAGAAGTCTAAAACATTTAGTTGATTTTCAATTCCAAAGTCCCAAAACGATAGCGCAAGGCGCGTGCAAAATCTGCCCAAGAATTAATCTTGTCGCTTTTGTAGGCCCACTGATAACATGGAATAGCAGGGTCATCCATCCGAAGACCCGCCAATTCAATCTTGAAATC